AGAAATATCAATACGAGAGAGGCCGCCTCCCATACATGCTCTGACCAGGGATGGAATCCAAAACCTAGGTATGTGCCTGGACTGGGAACCAAACCCACAATCCTTTGGTGTATTGGATGACGCTCCAACCAACTGAGCCACCTGGTCAGGGCAATGATGAGTTTTCTCACCCTGATACTCATGAAAACAGATTGAATGTTGGCATTTAAGTAATACAGATTTGTACACATTCTGTGAAAATTTAGGAAAAGATGTAACTTACCTTGTCTACAAGTGTTTGAACCTTGTCACAGGAGGAGGTGACTTTGGGGAGGGTCTCAGGGGATGAAAGGGAATTCTCCCCTACCTCCATTCCAGAATGAGTAGCCTCAGGGTGACACTATCTGTTGCTGAATGAAGGGCTAGCCTATACAGGGAGAGAGAAACTGATGGAAATGACATGAATAATGTGGAATGGGGAAGGTCTTGGGTGCATAGTGGGATACATTTTAGATTTATATAGTTAATCGTTACAGCAGTTGGAGCCAGAACATACATGGGCTCATTTTCTGTCATGTAACGGGACTCACCTCACATGTTAAGATTTTAAAATGCTTTAAAAGGGACTCTTATTTTTATTAATATTAAAATTATTATTAATTTTTATTTCTTTTTCATATGTTTAAAATATATTTTTATTGATTTCAGAGAGGAAGGGAGAGGGAGAGAGAGATAGAAACATCGATGATGAGAGAGAATCATTGATCGGCTGCTTCCTGCACTCCCCCTACTGGGGATGGAGAATGTGCCTTTGACAAGAATTGAACCTGGGACCCTTCAGTCCACAGGCCTACACTCTATCCACTGAGCCTAACCATCTAGGGCTATTTATTATTTCTTCTTTTTTTGCCGTTTCTTTTTATTTTATTGTATTTTATTTTATTGTTTAAAGTATTACAGATAGTAGTACATATGTCTCCTTCCCCACCTTCCCCACCCCCCATTGACCTTCCCCCGGCCTCCCCTCCCCCCCGGCACATGCCCTCACCCCACCCCTGAGTGTGTTGTGTCCATTGGTTATGCTTATATGCATGCATATAAGTCCTTCAGTTGATCTCTTTCCTCCCCTCTGCCCCAACACTCCCCAGCCTTCCCATTGTTATTTGACAGTCTGTTCGATGCTTCTCTGCCTCTGTATCTATCTTTTTGTTCATCAGGTTATAATATTCTTTATTATCCATAAATGAGTGAGATCATGTGGTGTTTTTCTTTCACTTCCTGGCTTATTTCACTTAGCATAATGCTCTCCAGTTCCATCCATGCCGCTGCAAATGGTAAGAATTTCTTCTTTTTTATAGCAGTGTAGTATTCCATTGTGTAGATGTACCACAGTTTTCTAATCCACTCATCTGTTGATGGGCATTTAGGCTGTTTCCAATATTTATTTTTTAAGTGGAGATATAATTGATATACAACATTGTATTGTTTTTAGGTGAACCACTTGATATACATATATATTGCAAAATGATCACCACAATAAATTTAGTTAACATCCATCACCACATAATTACAATTTTTTTCTTATGATGAGAATTTTTAAGATCAACTGTCTTAACAACTTTAAAATGTACAATACAGTTTTATTAACTGTATTACCATGCTGCCCATACGTCTCTAGGACTTACTTATAACTGGAAGTTTGTACCTTTCGGCCACCTTTACTAAAAGGGACACTCCATAACCCTCCTGAAAAGTTGTAGTTTGGACTTCCGGCCAACTAAACCTCGGGTGTTCTCAACTAGAAAATCAGTTGGCATCTGGTGGTCATGAACCCCCAGGAGCAGGCAGCCTCTTGTCTATCTTAACTCCTTTGCTGCCAAAAGTTCAGCAGGACTGGAGCAGGGAGCTGGCTAGGAGGGGATGAAGCTGAGGGTGACGATGGGAGAGTGTGGGGTTTGTTTATCTGAGCAGGTACTTGTTTATCCTTACAGCCATATCTGAGGCTATAATGGGCAAGACAAGAAATCCAGAAGGGACCTTTGTTTATTTAAACACACACACACACACACACACACACACACACACACACACACACACCCCTAAGTAAAAGCTACAGACCATAAATTGCAGAACTCTAGACTGGGTCATAATTATGATGTGATATCTTTTCAGAAAGTTTGTTCTGGTGGCTGTTTTGAGTAGTGGTCTCACAAGTTGCAGGGGAGGCTTGTACCTCCCCCCCCCAAAAAAAAAGTGCAAGAAAATTTGAGGCAGATGTGGTCTTTAATCTGAAAAACTTTACTGATATTTAATATGCTAGTCCAGAGTAGGACATGTGTATAATTTATAAATAAATGCACACACACTGGGAACGCCTGCTCAGAAATATTTTACTGATGGGGACACAATTATGGTCTTTTGCTTTGACTTTAAAATAAATGCCAGGCCCTTTTAGATTTCCTTTTTTGTCCGTGGTCAGGTAGAGAGGAGGGGGAGATGAGGCAGTTGGAGAGAAAGAGGAAGAGGGGGGTGGCAATGGTATTTAGAATTTGGTGACTGATAGCTTGGGAGTGAATCTTTGATCAAACCCTTCCCCCAGTGGAGAATGTATTGCCTTTCTAGTACTTTCACAGAATGGCCATCATTTCTCTTATGGCTTTGGAATCTAACTAGTTACTTACCAGTCATTTGCCTCTCACTATTTTGAAGCTGTATTCCTAACATTTATTTAGTAGATCCTAAATAAATGTTGCAATGGGAATATTACATTGTTTTAATAACTGTAGTAAAAAAAATGGAAGAGATGTATATTTTTGAATAAGAGAATGTTCCATATAATGGTAGGCACTCTAAGCCTTTGCTTCAAGAATGAAATAAGAACCCACCATGATATGCTGTGGTGTTAGGGTTGTTAAGACTGTCTGTATGATTCTGTATTACAGGTTGGAAATTACTAGGGTCAGTCATTTCTTGGTACCTGCTATTTGAAATGTATACGGTGATTAGGGACACTATTAAATAATCACAAACTACAAGAGTCCAAATGAGTCTTAAGACTTATTTTTTCCTTATGAGCACAGGAGTCGAAATTAGCCATAAAAGTTATTTTCAAAGCATTTCCTTTTGGATACCTAAGGAATGCTGACTATTCAACAAACATTAGTTGCATAAAGAAGATTTTTGGTCCCATGATCTGGCTGAAGGTTTGCACGAACAGCTGCTTATCTCATGAATGGAATTTCCTGTTAATAGTCTTGCAGGCTAATTGTTCATCAAAAGTATAACAAATGTCAACAAATATCCCAAATGTGTTACATCCTAATATTTAAGAGACAGCAGAAATAGTTCGGATGTTTAACTTGGTTGTGCTTAAAAGGCAACAGCACAACCTTTAGCTTTTGTCACAAAGTATTCTTGACAGGATTAATGCTATTCAGAGGAACCATTTGGTTTGAAAGCCCCTTCCTTTTAATTCACAACAGCACATGGCTTAAGATAAGAAACGCTAAGGGCAGAAACACAATTGTAACTTCAAATAGCGTTATTATAAAGCACTATTTTTTAATGGATGCCATATAGTTTTCATCTCAACTACATATGGAAATAAATTTTCTTAGGATAAAAATGCTACAAATGAACTCAAATTTCTTGGCAGCAACCACAAACACATCAACTTTTTAAAAAAATCCTCACCCATTGATTCAAATTTCTTGGCAGCAACCACAAACACATCAACTTTAAAAAAAAATCCTCACCCATTGATTTTTAGAGAGAGTGGAAGAGAGAGGAAAAGACAGAGAGAAATAGTGACGTGAGAGAAACACATCCAACCGAGGTATGTGCCCTTGACAGGAATCAAACCCGTGACCCTTTGG